TCTAGCTGTTTAAGTTTCAAGTATAAAACAAATTCACTCACAATACCTCTACTGCTAATTGATTATTATAAAAACACCATTCCATCCTGAATTTTTCAGCTTAGACTCCTTCAGCTAATTGACCTCAGCAGCCACGTAACCATCACCTTCAGCAACAAGGAAGTACCATTTGAAGAACACACCTCTTAACACCAAGTCTTCGATTTAATATAAAAGATATTAAAGTAAGCTATATGAAAGGAGATCTCTTGATGATGGACTCAATGCCACAAAGCTGATTTCTGAAAGAAGCACCACTAGGGAATTCAGATTGGGCATTTTTCTCTTGATACATATCAGTGCTGCAACAGCTGTTCAGCTACTAACAACAGGTATCTTGGTTTATTCACTTCTGTTTTGTAAAGCATACTGACTGCACAGACCTACCTCCTCAGAGGAATGACATGAAGTTCTATAATAAAGAAACATAAAAGAACTCAGGAACAGCAAAATCTGGATATCCTTCAGCTTTTGAGGTTGAATTTTAAATTAAATACTCTTAAAAAAAACTCTAGTATGTTTTGGTTTTTTTAAACTTGCTTTTAAAGAAAAGATGTAATGCAAATTCAATAGTATGTTTGGGAATCCAAATGAGACATTTAAGTGAAAATACATTTTAATATTTCTTTTGATTATTAAATCATTTAACCTGCTATTAAAGCAGCTTGAAGGGCTATCTTTGTAGAACATAAAAAGCATTTGAAAACATAGCATGAAAGTATTTTGACCTTCTTTACGCTCAGCTATACTATGAAAGCAGTCATTCAACATATGAGTTCAGCAATGTCATTGTTGCCAATACAGACAAAAATCATTCACCCAAAATCATTATTTTGGTGTGAAAATACTCTATCTCACTACACCTAGAGAATGAAATTATTCCCAAACAATGAGAGGAATACAGACGGTGGTTTTACTGAAGCTAATTTCTGTAGCCAATAGCCAAATCTGTGGGAGTTTAACATAAAAATGCAATTTATTCAAGATCCTGACTATCCAGTCCTCCAATAACCAATGAAAGCAAGGATGCTTAGCTATAATATCAATAGCTTGTTACCATGACGCACTACTCTACCATTTTCCACAGATTTCAGGGGATAATATTTTATAGGTAATATAGGGAACACATATGTTCTGGTTTTGCAATCCTAAAAGACAGTGATCATTTCCTTAAAGTTTTACTGTAGCCTTCTGGCATCTCCAGAGAATTCACACCTAGCCATCTATTTGCATTACAGTACTACTGATGTAAAATGAAAAACAAAAGATCAAATGTTAATCTGTATGGAGGATTTTCAATTAGATTCATATTTCTATTTCTCAGATGCCAAATATTGTGGTTTCCTGTCTAATGTATCACTAGGCTTTGGCAGTTTTCTCAGATTTAAATAACTCAAGAACAAAAGCAGCAAATTATATCCGACTAGAGAATTATAATTGTGACAGAACAGAGATCTTCTTCAATCTTATGAATCAAAACACGCTCTGAAAATAGCAGGTACCATTATTATCCCAATAGAAGAAGGACAAGTAAGGCAAACCTCGCTGTAAATCAACTCCCAAATCTGAAACAAATGAGAAAGTGAAATACCAAAATTAAATGCAATCAGCTGACTGATAAAGAATATATTCCAGGAGATTTAAGGAGGTAGAGGTCGTTTTAAGGAACCACCACGCCATTTTGTGCATTACAAAAATCCACTGTAGAATGCTCTGCATGCTTAAAAGCACTGCTCAGCATATTAGCAGATACCTATTTCTATTTTCATTCTAAAGTATCGTTTGTTTTCACAATACAAATATACAGACCTGCAAAGCATCACAGTATAAGCACTCTGAACTTAGATCTACGGGTTGTATTTGTTCATTCTTTATGATCTTGTCTCCCTCTAGTGGCTAGCTCCCACAACAATTTAATTCTACCTATAACCAGTTGCGTGTGCAGAATCACAGAACTAGAAAGGAACTTCAGAAGATGTCTAGTCCAGCCTCCTGCTTCAAGCAGCATCAGACTGCACAGCACTTTGTCCAGTTGGATCTTTGAAACTTGGAAGTACAGAGACCACATAACATCTCCGAAGAAACTGTTCCAGTGTTCCACTGCCTCCATGCTGAGCTCTTCACTATGTCCAGCCTGACTCCCTTATTTTAACTTAAGCTTCGATGCCAAGCTATTAGCTACAATAACTGACAGCAGGTTTCATTCTTTTCTTTGCTCTAAACTCATGTTTCTTCAAGTCCCTGACTTCACATTCACAGAACACTCATATAAACAGATCATATAAACAACAGCAACCAAGTAACAATTTCTCCTGTAAAAAATTATTTTGTTTTCAACTATCCTCCCTGCTTACCTCGTTGCAATTATTTAATGTGTCTTAGTTCACCTTTCCAGTTTCTTGTTTCAATTATTTTTAAAGTATATTGAGTATTTGGGTATATTTTTTCTATTTTTTTTTTCAGGGAGGGGGGGGAGAGGGGAAGAGGAAAGGGCATTTTGGGGAGGGCGGACAGGGAGAGAAGAGTTACCCCAGAAAAGGACATGAAAGAATAGATTGGGATTTGTTCAGAGTAATATCACATATTACATAGATAAAAAACAAACGATACCTTAAAATAACACTAAGGTTTTGAAGCCAAACAGTATGACCATTTAGTCAGAAGTAACACATCTATCACAATTTGGCAGTCAATCCTATAATCTAAACAACAATTTAACATTAAGGTATTTTAGCCTAGCAAATAACAAAATAATTTTAATTTCAGTGCTGCAAGCAAAAGCACATGTTGCTTTGTGCTCTGCATCTGTCTGCTGTGAACATGCCACTACTTAATAACTTTCCCCACAGGATCACCACCAGTTTCAGGGTGTTCTTCCCAGATTCCACTTGACTTGCATTAAATGAAGTGTGAAACTTTGTATTAATAACATACCACAGTTTCCTCTCAAGGGAAAAAGAAATGTGTTTTCTAAAGTGTTTTTTTTAATCACAAAAATCCAGGCTATGCCCACCTCATTGATTTAAGAGCACAGGAGGACTTATTTTCTGGTGCAAATTCTCCTTGCACCTGTGCTTAGTCTGTAATACTCACTTCACTGCACTGCTCATGCAGCTAAGGTGATTCCCTTCCTGTTGAAAACTGAAATTGTGAACTAATCTTAAGACTGAAAACCACCCTAGATGTTATTGCCATTCAAGACCAATGTGAACACACAATTTTAAAACAACCGTTTGCAACAAACCAAACACTCCTTTTTCACAATACATCACCCAGTAATTAACCCTAATCTTTATCAAGGTACCATATCATCTACCTTGGCAAAGCTCTGGTGGGACAAAAAAAGTTTAATTACCTCAAATCTACAGGAAAGGAAACAGGGCACCAGTGTCAAAAAAAAATGCCAAAAGAAAAAAAGTACCAATTAGAAGTGCATTCACCTTCATTTTTTTGGGACTTCAAGCATTACTGAACATTTTGCTGTGAAAGCCACAGCCAGCAAAACCCAAGCTCGTAAAACTTACTTTAAATAAGGATACAAACTGCATGCATGTTTTCATAAACGTGCACACAACTGGTGTCAACATGCAAGCGGGTGGAATGGGACACACTCACGCAGTATTTTTTCCATCAGAAATAACAGACGTACACATTTGTGTTGGGTTTATGTGGCAAGGCTTTCATCATGGGGACTGCAAGGGTAGCTTCTGGGAAGAGTCCAACACGGCCCCACATCAGGTCAGAGCCAGCTCTCTGTTCCAAAAGGGACCCACTGCTGCCAGCAGTTAATTGGTATCCAATTGCAAAATCAGATTTATTATCTAGATTGAAATCTCTTTTTGAATCTTTGTAAAAAAATTATGTTTCAGATTTTTCTGCTTTTACAAAACACACATTTACTCTTAAATCATGCACCAAAAAGGAACTAGATTTACATTGGTCTAAGTCTTTATTAAAATGCTGTTTTCTTCTCTCTTCTCAAAAGATTTGCAGACCAGTTCAACTATCTTCTGGGATTTGGAAGAGAAGATGCATACTGTAATTCAGTATACTTAGAGCTACATTTTTTTGTTGAAATAGCCAAGGCATAGGAACTTGAGCTAGTAAAAAAGAAAATCATCTGTCAACCTTCATAGTACTCTGGAAAGCTAAGATCTCATAACATCAATGTAAAATAATATAGTCCAAACAAAATTGATGTAAGGTCTGAAACTTTTGCTCCAAGAGAACACTCCTGAACTCTGCCTGTATGCCCTAATGGCATACACCACAGGCCAAGCACATGGATAAAGCAAGGCACCTGCTTGATTCAGATGGTTAAAACACAAGACAGTGTGAAACAAGGAACACTGTTTCTTTTGAGACTGTAAATTTGCTACAGCAAGCTGACACAGTTGTTCAACTAATTTTATTTTTATTAATGAGCAAAAAGACAAACCTCTCCTTACAGCTCGTAATGCCACTTACCTACGCTGTGAGCTAATTTAGTCACACAGCACTTGTTTCACAACAGCAGTTTCCCACTGATTTGAGTGGTAAAATAAGATTTCCTAGACCTTACATTAAAAAAGCCTTTGGTTTTGTGGCTAGTCTGTATTTTTCCATACTTCACAAGAATTTCCAAAACAAAATGAATAAAATCATAATGAAAAAGAAAAAAAAAAAAAAAAAAAAAAAAAGAAACAAAGCTTTAGAATACGT